AACTTGGCTGCAGACACTCCGGCGATTGGTACCCCTGTGGAGAGTGCTAGTGAGGTAGATTTTGCTCTTGCTTTGCAAGCTTCTTCTTCATCGAAAAATAGTAGAAAATGTTGTGATGTTAAAGCTTTGAACTTGAATTCTGTGAACTATAATGCCAACATTGCTTTTGAGAGTGATATGAAGAGCTGTCATGGTAAGGGGAAAGAGGTTTCAACTGTAGATTTAGGTGGAGATGATTGGAATAATAGGTTTGTGCCTTATGATGATGAGCTTAGTAGCATTGACCATAGTAAGGAGTTGAATTTTGTTGCCGGTTCTGGTGTTGATGATGCAGAGGATACAAAACAGTGGGGGAAGGATTGGTGGTGGAAGCAGGATGGAAGTGGTGAATTGTGTAGTAAAGATTATGTTACAGAATGGATAGGGAGTCAGATTTGCCCATCTACGAATCCCGACTGGGATGACGAAAAGAAGAGCATTCATGAGAAACGTGGGTTAGATGTATCAACTCCAGTTGATAAATTAGAAAATGCAAATGAACCCCAGTTGCAAGAATTTGGGTTTGGAAATCCCAATAAGGGGTTCGAGAAGAAAGAATTGAAGAGCAGGAAAAATCACAAAAGGAAACCAAGGAAGATGCAAGAGTGGTGGAAAGAAGAGCACCTTGCTGAGATTAGCAAGAAGGGTAATAAGCTTAAAAATCTCGAAACAAAGTGGAAGAAAGGCTTCAAAATGCCGCGTTTTGGCAGATGGATGTACCTTCATAGACGAAAGAACTTTAGGGAGCAGAGTCAGGATAAATGTGATCAAAATGGGGAGTTCAGTTTCAGGAGGGGATGGAAGAAAAAGACTGCACATTCTGTTGGAAGTGACGTCTATAGTGGCGATCTATTTAGCCGTGAGCTCAGCAGCACAACAAGCATGAGAGGGACTTTGTGCTATGTTGCGCCAGAATATGGTGGGTGTGGATACTTGATGGAGAAGGCTGACATCTACAGTCTTGGTGTTCTAATCCTTGTGGTTGTGTCTGGTAGAAGACCATTACATGTTCTTGCATCACCCATGAAGCTAGAAAAGGCAAATTTAATAAGCTGGTGTCGGCAGTTAGCTCACGCTGGAAACATCCTTGAACTTGTAGATGAGAGATTGAAGGATGAGTACAATAAAGACCAGGCAAGTTTGTGTATAAATTTGGCTCTCTCTTGCTTACAAAAGATGCCAGAGTTACGACCGGAAATTGGGGAGATTGTTAAGATCTTGAAAGGGGAGATGGATCTCCCACCACTCCCGTTCGAGTTCTCTCCCTCCCCCCCTTCAAAGTTATACAGCAGGTCAAGGAGAAAACAGACTGCCACTACAGAGTAGGGACTATAACATATTCTTCATTTCAAGTTTCTTTTATCATTCCCCACTGGGGTTATGGTGAGTGTAATATAGAAGCAATGATTCGAAATCGTTATTTGAAAACAAATTTATGGCCTGCATGTTGTGTGTACCATGAGGTTGTTGTGTGTATATTAGCAATTAGGTAGATGATTCTGCTCTATTTTTCATTGCTGGGTTAATGTTCAAGTCCTATTGACACTCCCTTTGTTGTTTTTTCAATCATAATCAGACCAAAGTTTCCTTAAATTCGTGCAGTGGAATATACAGGTCCTCTGTTTAATCCAGTGATTCATCGGGCTTGTGCTGTTTTGAAACAATTGCAGATGGTTTGTCAATGCATGCAAGAAATCAAATAGGAAAACTTTGAGAAACAATCTAGCTGCTCAAAAAGCCTTCCCATGTTTAAGTTTGTCTCACATTTCCTTACATTTGAAGGGTTTTTCTTTGGATACATGACCTAATTAAGAAGGTTTTAATTTACAACAGCCAGTGAAACTTTGACAGCCACAGAAAATGATTGATCCTTTAATTTTGGTTGGGGCTTTTTTAGATTGATCATGAAGCACTGAAGTCTTAATCACGGGCCAAAGCTGCTCACTACTAAAGTGTAAATAATTAACCCACGAGAGGCTAAGACTAATCACTCAAAAGTATATATCATAAAGTCATGGCTCTATCCATATAATTTTGCCTGCTGAATTGTCATTGTCATTTTCCTTTTCCTTTCCTAGAAAGAAGAGAAAGAAGAGAAAGAAAAGGTTGCTATCTGGGCAAAGAAAACATGGATGTGTTGTGTGATATTAGGGACAACTCTTGGAAGCAATATGTGCATTATTCCCCTTATTGGGCTGGAGGAAAAGGACCGCAAAAGTGAAAGAAAAAAGGATTATGAACCAAAGCTTGCGAAGACTGACAGGCAAGTTACTTATGTACCATTTGAGCCATCTATGAGGTTATCTGGTGTAGTTGCTTAGAAGCATCATAGCCACCATTAGTCGCAGAACTTGCATGGCACGAGGATAACAATGTTTCGCTATTTTCAACTAATCATATTTTGCTATGTGACAAAATTACCACCCGCGGCGAAACGCAATTGATTGGAGATAGCGAAATAGTGTCATCCCTATGATATACAATGTTTTCTCCTTTCAAAGGCTCAGACAAATGAGCTCTGTGTTTCTATCAGTCTCAGACTGCACACTAGCTAGAGGGCTATTTTCCTTCTGAAATCTTTGCCGACACTTGAAAAACATCATTTTGGTGGGACTATTTCTATTTTTATTTCTCAGTGGGCCATGCTAGACAATGGTATATTACATTTTGAGCAGAAAATGTCATCTCACATGTTACATGTCAGATAAAATTGGAACATTATAGAGGAATTTTCTGGTTTGCTCTGACAACGTGTGTTTACTGATATTTTCTTTATCTTTAAAGAGATTTTCATTCCACTGAAACAGAATGAGTATCCAACTAAGGAGAACCCTCCTCAATCCATACAATATTCGTTGAACAACACCTAGTAAACCTAATAAAGATGCCGAATTAGGTTTTAATCTAATGGTATTTCTCTTTCTAATATTAGAACAAGTCTCAAGTTCGAATCCTCATTTTTAACCAAAAAAAAAGGTTCAAATTCCCCCCTCTGATGCAAAGAAACCAAAAAAAACTTTCTACCAAATTTAAAGAAATTGGAAAAAAAAAAAAAAAAAGTTGTCACGCTTTCTTGAAGAAATTAAATAGAACTATTTTTCTCAAATAAATGTACTGTAATATATTCTGAAGTTTTTACCTGCATTATTAGTGCTTCCATAACTACTGCATAAGTGTAATGTTGAACAAAGAAAATTAAAGGTACATAAATACAATATATTAATAGAGGATTCTCAGCAAATCAAGCATGCATGATCTTTGACCAAGACACAAACAGACCTAGAAAAGAAACCAAACCCAGTTAAGTAATAATTATCTCTCTCTCTCTCTCTCTCTCTCTCTCTCTCTCTCTTCTAAGATGTTTAAAGATAGTTTTAAAAAATCTTGAACATGTGAGTCTCTTCATAATAACATAACCCATCAAATATTTATTAGAGGAAAGCACTTCTAGTCAGCTCTAGGAAATCATCATATTTGTCAATAATTGACCAACAAAACTAGATAATGGAGCTAGGCATTGGTTCCTGAGACCCCTTTTCATGTTCCTTTATTCAACCATAAAAAAACAACAACAAAAAAGCATTTGCTAGCTCCCACGTTCAATTTTATCATAATTGGAATTTCAAATATTCAAAATGAGAACGTGGGTAAGTTTGTTAAAATTTTCATTTTGGAGCAAACCAAGTGGACCAATGCAATCATGTCTAGGCTAGCTCTGTATTTATTTTATGGGCTTGTACGGAAAGTCCATACATATTCAAACCTGATTATTCAATTAACTTTGTGATAAATGCACATTTAGTTACAGTAATTTCAATCTTTAATCTTTTAACACCTACCCTATGCCAACGGGGTCTAGCTTAGTAGAAAATGGCATTGCCCAGTAGTCTCATATTCGAATCCCCATGACAATAGTGTATATGAGAAAAACACCCTCCTGATCCTCCTTCCTAACTGCAACCCAAAAAAAAAAAAAAAACACACACACACACACACTCTACCACCCTACATCCTATGACCTCCACCTCCCACATTAGCCCCTTTAATCCTTGAAGGCCCAGCCCCTTTAACCCTTGAATGCCCAACATTAGCCCCTTCAAGCTTGAAAGCCCAACATTAGTCCCAGCAATTCCTAGAATCCCATCCCAAACTTTAGCCCCTTCAAGCCTTAACGTTCCTATCCAAGATATCCCTACAATCTCAACCTCCTCTAAAATAGACCCTTCAAGCCCTCTTATCCCACTTCACACAATAATTCCAAGCCCCTCCAAGAAGAAAAACTTACGTACCACCGTTTCATTGCCTAGAGGAGAGAGATAAAGAAAGGGGGCAAATGAAATGAAGATAGGAAAGTATTTCTCCCCTCCAAACCCACCTACTATTATCCTACCCCAAAATACATTAATCCCATCAACTAGTCCTACAACTCCACTTGATTCAATTTTAAACCCTCCTCTTACCACTGCCATTGCCCCATCCAATACTACTCTCACCCTTCCTAACATTGCTTATCCACCAGCCCCAGCTCCCATCTTCCCACCTCCCCTGCTCCAACCCTTCCTCCCCTTACTTTATGTTATTACCAACTGGACATGGCATTGTCTGAAATTGAATTTCTGCTGCATCATCATGCTCTGCTGATTGCAGGCAACATTCATCCATGCCACAAATTGCCAATAAGTTAAATCAATGCTTAGATCAAGAAAAACACATTGTTGCTTATTCATGTCATTATCTTAAATACACTGTGGTACATTCAAACATTTGATGTGAAACAAAGAGAACAAACAATGATATTATGGGACATCTGATAACATTTTCAGTGTAAAAATAAGAAGAAAAAACAGAAACTAGTTAATAGCTTGCAAGCATCGTATTATAAGTGAAACATAATATTAACATACTTCTCATAAGGAGCTAGGAACGGAAAGAGAGTGATCATCTTTCCATATGTGGTGATTTTTAACAATGACAATTTTATAATTTGACCATTGATCATCTCAATATTATAAGCTTTTGATCAATCTGAGTGATTGTGCTACCTCTGTCATGATGGGCCTGTCATCCGGATTTGTTTTGAGACACCTCTCTATGAGCTTAGCACATTCCACTACTTGCTTCTTGTTTTCTTCTTCCAAGACATTGGCCTCTAAGTAGGTTTTGAAAAGATTGGCTAACTGTCTAAACTCTAGCTCGTTATATGAGCTTGAACTGCCTTTGTTAGAATTCTCCATAAACCAAATTAGTAAACTATCCCATCTCTTTCCTGCGAAGATCTCACATAACAGAATTCCGAAGCTATGGACATCACTCTTTTCTGAAGTACATCCCGATATAGCATATTCAGGAGGCAGGCACCTATGAGTCCCGGTAATTACTTCAACATCCACATGAGTTTAACCCAACAGAATTGGAACTGAGGTTCGGAACTCAGACAGCTTTGCAACATAGTCTTGGTCTAAGAAGATATGTCCAGCCTTTATATCTCGATAGATGATCATCTTCGGCATGCCATAGTGGAGATAGGCAACTGCATCTGCTACTTCAATTGCAATCTTTATGCTGATCTGCCATTGTAGTGATTGGCCATCTCCTCAGATGTGGTGTAGAGGTTTCCTTTTGCTGGGAATTCGTAAACTAGCGTAGGCAACTCAGACTCGAGGCAGCATCCCAAGAGCTTCAAAACATTCTTGTGCTTGCTCATGTTTGAGGCTATTGCAGCTTCATTTGTAATCAGTTCTAGAGGATCCATGTAACTACTTGAGTCTGCTTCAAACATTTTCACCAAAATTACATGGTCTTCATGAACTCCTTTGTACAATTGAGAGTTCCAATCTCGATGTGCCATTCCATCCCAACAATAATCATTTGTTGCTTTCTTGAGCTCTTCTTGGGAGTACATCTGAATCAGATTACAATTCCCATAGAAAGAATGTATAAGCTGTTCTAACATGGCAGCTCCATTCTTCAAGAAGCATCCCTCCTCTTTTGTCTTGTATTTCTTGTTTCTGAAGCATGATAGCATATTCGAAGATTGGTTTTCAGTTGCCAAAGTTGCAGCACTAGCCTGCTTTTGTGGTCCTGTTTCAGCTGACAGTTAACTAGGGGCTTGACTTGTTGACTAATAATTCTTTAGGAACTATACTGGTTTTTTCTGGGTGTTTTCCTATAAGGCTTGTGGAAGAAACAAAACATCTGGTTTTGGACCACAAACGATGAACAATTATTAGAGTAATACATAAGGTTTCATTCTTGAAACACAGTTGTAGTATTCATTATTGTGATTTTAATGACACTCTGGCTTATTGGAAGATTAGTTTTCAGTAGGTAACAGAACAGCTCCCTGCCTGTGGACTAACAGCTCACTTTGCTGGTCGACCCTCACTGCAGACAGTCAAGCTGGGAGGGCTTTACGCGTAATACATGAATTGTAGTTCAAATTTGTCTTCATGACTCTTCAATACCTTGAATAGACTTGAAGACTTTGAAAATAAATTGGGTTTGGTATGCCCTTGAAGACAGATAAAATTTGAACTTGGAGAAAGTGACAACCCCAAGTTGACTCTCTGCGCACAGGACAAAAAGACTGAGCTATTAATGTCCGCAGCTAAAGTTGTATTGTTATCAACTGGAAAACCAATGCTATCACGCTTCAGAAACCATAAAAACAAGAGAAAAGAGGGCTACTTCCTGAAGAATGGAGCTGTGATGCTGGAACAGCTCATCCATTCTTTTAATAGGAATTGTAATCCGATTCAGATGTTCTCTGGAAAAGAACTCAAGAAGGCAACAAACCACTACAGCTGGGAGCCTGGGATAGAATGACACATGAGGATTGGAACTTCCAACTGTACAAAGGAGTTCATGATGATCATGAAATTCTAGTGAAGAAGTTTGAAGGAGACTCAAACAGTTGCATGGACCCTTTAGAACTAATTACAAATGAAGCTGCTATTGCCTCAAACATGAGCAAGCAAAAGAATGTTTTGAAGCTCTTGGGCTGCTGCCTTGAGACTGAGTTGCCTACTCTTGTTTATGAATTCCCAGCAAAAGGAATTCTCTCCCATCACATCTATAAGTCAATTGCTACCATGGCAGACTAAGCTAAAGATTGCAGTTGAAGTAGCAGATGCAGTGGCATATCTCCACTATGGCACGAGAAAGAGGTTCATCCATCGACATATAAAGACAGAACATATCTTCTTAGACCAAGACTACGTTGCCAAACTGAGTTCCAAACCTCCGTACCAATTCCTTGTGGTGAAACTCATGTTGATGCCAAAGTGTTCGGGGCTCCACACCACTTTGCTCCAGAACTAAAAATTTGTGGGCGTTATAACGAGAAAAGTGATGTCTACAATTTTGGGATTGTACCGTGTGAAATTCTAACAGGAAAGAACATTGCTGATTTACAAGCTTTCAGGTTTTAGTGAATTCTAACAAATGGGAAAATTTGCATGATACAAGCATGGGGCAAGTAGCAGAATGCACCATGCTCGCATTATGGTGTCTCAAGTCAGATCCTTATGATAAAAGAAGTGGCAAGGAGATTCAGATTAATCTTCTTCCCTTAATTTCTATGCATCTTTACATAGAAATTAATATTTTTGGTCTTCTAAATTTTTAATTGTTTTTTTGTGTTTTCCCCCATCCATTAGGATCTTATATGCACAATGTATTCATTTGGCTATGTAAATCTTGATTCTTGATGGATAATAAAGTATTAAAGCTACAAAATCATGCAACCTTCTTATTGTCTGGAAATTCTTGTCAAAAGACAGGGCAGAACAAGCAAAATTAGCAAGGGCAGTGATGCTTGGGCAATGAGAAGGCAAAGCCCATGGAAAACTATTACCATGGGAACCTTTCTGAATGGACAGCATTACTATGTAAAGAACAAGGCTTGATTATTCGACACCTCCATGTCGAAGTAGATGCAGCTGAAGAACTGCCTACATCTGTTGCAACTGGAAATGAAGAATATTTGATGTGCCTATGGTAGATTAGTCTTGGAAGCTAACACAATGTAGTCACTGACAAGTCTTTGGTCATAACAGTGCCTGCGCTCCTATTAAACTAGTTTGGACGCCTAAGGAGACAATTCAAGAGACAGGGTGCTGGTCTAATCCTAAACATGGCTCAGAAAGTCAAAATTGTAAAGTTTCAGAGCGGTGATTAAAATAATTGAAGGATGATCAAATTGTAAAGTTTTGCTAATTTGAAACAAAGTTTAGGCAATACAGTTGACAGTTGAGGGTACAAAGGAAAAAACCAGAAGAGTTCAACCCAAATCATATAATGTAATTGTCCAAAGAACATCAACTAAGGAAAAAAAGAAAAGCTTAAAACTGAGAACAAATAAGAATAAATTGTACACTTCCCTGAGTTACACCAGCTTCCACAACCACAACACACCACAAGAACTAGACCCATCCGAATCCAAAGCACAGCATTGCCAAAGAAACCGCTAAGGCCCAAAATCCCTGTTGAGGAACAACCAGGACAGCAGAATCTGATGAAGAATTATGGGCACTTGGGGCGGCCTTGGGTGGCGAAGGCAGAGGATGGACAACAACAGAGACCTTCATGCCATTGTAGCATTGACCATTGCCACAAATGAAGTAATACCTCTTGGCCTGATTGAGGGGTATGAAGTCTTTGCCACTGCTCCAGTTCCCTACAGCACTGTCCAAGGTGCAGTTGTCATACCCAGTCTGGTTTACCTCAAACACATTGTACTGGTTCTTTGGGTACCTAAATGCTGCAAGTTAACAAGCAATATACTTTGAGAAGAAAAGAAAGACCAGGATAAATAAGAAAAACTTGCACAGAAAAAGGCCAAGACAAATAGAAGATTGTATGATTAGCCCAAAACGATAGTAAATTTGTGTGTACACACACCAACAGCAATATTCAAAGTACCACAATGATCAGCTATGAACTGTGAAAAAGATATGAAAGAAAACTATCTCAGATAGACAATTAAGCTAAAGAAATCCAAAATTAATGTACTAGGTTCAGTTCAAGTGTACCGTAGTAACCATAATATGATATATCTCACTTTTATCTTCTTCTTTTTTTAAAAAAAATTTGGTTGTTAACAAGCAGCAGAAAAGTGAAAACAAAAATACCCAAAAAAGAAAGTGGGTTTTAGAATGCAATTCAAGTGTACCATAGTACCATAATATGATACCATTTTTCTTTTTATTTTTTTATAAAAAAATTTGAACTTTTGTTTTTAACAAGCAGCAGAAAAGTGAAAACAAAAATACCCAACAAAGAAAGTGGGTTCTGGAATGCAAACTGAGTACTTGAAAATGAATCTAAAGACAGAAACAGAGAGAGAGAGAGAGAGAGAGAGAGAGAGAGAGAGAGAGAGAGAGCTAGCTTACAGATGAGGTCCCCAACATAGAACGTTTGGTTGTTGGCCCAGAGGGTGTAGTTGATGCTAGGGTTCCAGCCACGGTTGGCACCAACAATGTGGTCAGTGGCAAGGATTGGACTGAGGACTGCAAGGGCGGAGATGAAAAGGAGAAACAAGATGAGGTGGGTTGAGTTACAAGACTTCCACATGTTCCTTCTCTGGTTGGTTTCTTCTTTCTCCGCTTCCTCTGTTCTTGGTTAACGGAAATAATTCGCTGGAGACAGTTCAAAAAGAATGCCAGTTGAGTTGAGCTCTGGGTCTGTGTGGGCTCCACAAACAAACAATTCTTCTTTCTCCCCATTTTTTTGGTTTATTTCACAGAACTCCAAAACAATATTTCCATAAAAAAATCTTATCAACTTGCAACATAATAAAAAGAACCGACAAAGAAAAGAAAAAGAACCGTTGATGGCATATGATATATGAGTAGATGGATCAGGCATTGGGAAATGGCCGTTGTGGTCTCCAAACAAGCAGGCCCCATTTTAATATTTTCTTGGAGTAGCTTTTAATAACTTACCCACATTTTTGTCCTTGTTTGGTAAATTGGGACACAAAATAAGAAGCAACGCGAAATTTTTTTAATTTTCAGACATTCCGGGTCGTGGATCAATACAGACTATTGAGAGCTGTGCAACAGTCAGTTGACTGCGGAGGTGGGTGATTTCTGTTCTGATCATTGATTTATGTGATTTTCAATTTTATAAAAAAACAATTTAGTTGTCTATGAACGAGTGATTTCTTATCATTTATGCATATAAAACCAGTATTTTATAAATCATTAGAAAATGTCAATGACGTGTTAATGGAGTCTAGCTTAGTTAAAAAAATATTAATTTATATATTAATAATTTTTTATTCGAACCCCTATAGTATCTTGGCAATATGTCTGGAGAAACCTCTCTCCTTTAATAATTCCCATTGTTTTTGAATGTTAGATTTTTGATTGGAAATGGTTCATACTCCACTTATGTTAGCTGCCATGCATGGCAAGATCTCGTGCGTAGAAATGCTTCGTGAAGCATGAGCAACTGTATGTGAATATCCCAATTTTTTGTTTCTTTTAGATTTGCATATTTTTTCCCCAAATATGAACTATGAATTAATGTGGGTTATTTTGTCAGGCATTAATATTTTTTATACAAAAAAGCGAGTATTCGGGGCAGGAATGGGGATAGTCCCCCGATGAGCAAGGCGGAACCATAAATTTTTTAATGGGTGGGCTAGCTAAAGTTATTAGCTTAAAATCTAATGATGATATTATTTTTTTGTACTTACATTTTCTATAGTAAAATGCTTCTCTTTTGGAGACAAATTAATAGAAAATATTTAAAATTGATGTTGGGACAAACTTTGATACCAAATACAAATGTGAAAGACCTCTTACTATGCCTATTTGTGTTGAAATATATATATATATATATATTTATAATTAAAATATTATGCTATATGTATATTTAATTTATGTTTTTTTCCAAACCTTCCTTGGGCTACAGCCAAGGGTAGCCAGCCATTGTCTTGGTTCCGCCCATGCTGATGGGGATTGGGATTTCCCGAAACCGCTTAAACGGGGATGGAGGCGGGAACGGGGCCAAGGATGGGAAGAGGAGACAGAGATGATATTGACATACCCGGCCTGTTGCCATCCAATG